TGAGCATCCTTATCCAAAAATACATTTTTGTCCGAACATATACTCAAAAAATAACTGTCGAAAAAAAAATAACTATTACTACACTACAATGTTATTGTGAATATATGACAAACATTGTCTGTTTTATTGATGAATGTGCAGCTATGAGTTCAAAAAAAAATGTCTATCATGGATCTAAATCTAATATGGAAATATATTATTGTACATATATGCTTCCCGCGAAGTCACGATTTATTTCCTAAGTGGCCCGCAAGATCGTTTGGGTTGGCCATAATAGGTTTCTAAAAATGATCACCCACTATACATAATAATATAGTTACAAATACAACAACCGAAGTTTATTTTTAAAAGCTTGGTTACAATAATTATGCAAGTGTACCTAGAAAGTTGCATTCCTATCGGGTTCGTTCGTTCGTTCGCACTATATGTACAGCAGACCGGTACTTAAATAACCCAAGAAGGTAATATACAAGCGTACAAATATACATACGTACACACGCACAACACACATAGACAGGGGCATGCATTTGTGCAAATATCTATGTATAATACATATCGTTGTCTAGAGAATAGAAATTTTCTTACTGCATTCCGTGCATAATAAATAATAAATAAAGTGCAATGTTGTTCAACCGCCTATTTGCATATGTGTATTATAACTTAATAAATAGCGAACCGTGTCGGATTTATTATTACACATACGTTCGAGGAAGAACAACCGATAGGTAAGTACCTACATGCATGACTTTTAATTGTTCAAAAACATACTCTCAGTTGTTTGCTACCTACGTTACAGGAAGTATCTAATAAAATTAACTCATTTGCTCTTTGACCATGCCGAAAAAAGACAACAACATGCACAAATGTAAAAAATGGCAAACTTAATAACAAAACCCTTGGCTTTTGTTGGTAAAGCTGCCAACTAAAATAACCACTAACTTTAAACTTCAGGTCCTAAAAGCCACCCCCCCCTAAATGATTTTTTTTTTCGAACTTTATAATTACTCTAAACGTTTGACCGTCATTTCTTTAATAACTTTTATTAATCAACATATCTATGGCAGCATACTAGTTCGAAAAAAAAAACATAGAGGGGGGAGAAGCAACATGACGGATCTTTAAATCTCATTGTCAGTATGAAACTTCATCTAGGGAAATTAACATGCATTGACACTATTTTTTCCTTGTACTGTCGCGAAAGGACGAATATAAAGAGAATAAAGAGAAAGAATATAAAAATTAGAAGAAGTTGCGAATTTAAGGTATCTAGGAAGTCAGATAAGTCAGGACGGAAGGAGTAGTAGAGATATAAAGCAGAGGATAGCGCAGGGTCGAGTTGCCTTCAATAAAAAGAAGTTACTTCTATGTTCGCGAACGGTTAATTTAGAAATTCGAAAAAAGTTAAAGGTACATGTTTAGAGCGCGGCGCTGTACGGGTGCGAAATATGGACGGTGGGCGCTGCGGAAAAGAAATGGTTAGAAGCGTTCTAAATGTGGTGTTACAGGCGAATGATGAGGATACCGTAGATAGATAAGGTTAGAAATGAAGAGGTATTAGAAAGAATAGGAGAACAGAGAACTCTATGGAAGTCAATAAAAAATAGGAGAGATAGGTTGGTAGGACACCTCAGGCATAAAGGTCTAGTCAGAGACATACTAGAGGCAGAAACGGAAGTTAAGAGGAATAGAGGTAGATTAGATTACTATTCGCAAATAGTTAAGGATGTGGGTTGTTCTAGTTTTAGGGAAATGCGAAGATTAGCTCAGGACAGGAAGGATTGGAGGTGTGTGTCCAACCAGTCTTAGGACTGACGACCTTACGATGATGATGATGATGTACTGACGCGGTAGATCGTGTATATTGGTTATCGGTTCTTCTTTAGGAAGGTAACATTTAAATATACGTGAATATTCCATATTTTTATGAAGTATAGTCAAGAAAACGACCTCTCTGTATATGCGAAACTAAAGAAATGGTATAAGTACTGTAAAATAAATAGCTGTATTACATGTTCCGATGTTCTATTATTACACAAAATCATCACAATCATCGCGATAATAAAAACCGCTGAATTGTCGAGTCCTTGAATTGTAGCGTTGGCCCCGATTCGCAATGTAAAACTAAACGCCGAGGTCACCTGCCGCATTACTACGAATCGTAATCAAAATAGAACCATAGTATTTAATACCTTGTATACAGTAAGTACGTATTTAGGAACTTTCATAAAAAACGATACGCGAATATAGTACGGGTGTTATACACACATACATACATATACGAATATACATATTATGTATACTTAATCGTTATGTACAACGTCCAGTAGTACATGTAATCTACATCTACACTAACATTACGAAGAGGTTAAATTAATTCGGTTGTTTCCTTGTATGTATAGAGGTAATCTCCAAAACTACTGAAACGATTATAAAAATGCTTCTATTAGTTGAAAGCTAGACCCTCCCCCCTGTGGGCTAACCTAATACAACCTGTGCAAATTACCGTTGTCGATGGTCAATATCGCTCACTTTTTAACCTCCATACCGTCACCAAATTCGATTCCATCGACGGGCGTTTAGACATTTCCACATCACATAGTCAGAAGTGAAGCTACCGTATGACTAAGAGGTGTAGTGCACATATGCTCCATGCATTCAAGAAGGCTCTATCCCAGCAAAAAAATACGTAATAACTGAATAGAAAATTTTATTTCGGATGAACTACATTGTCCATATTCTTCCTGATATTTGACACAGCAAATGAAAATCTTCACTGACCTTGGCCTCAGTCTTTATTAAACAACATCCAACGTTTCGCCCAAGTTTGTAGTTTTTTCGAGGAAATTGTAATAAATCGCCATTTCTTTACTTACACATATTACAATTTCCTTGAAAAACCTCACAAAGTGTACTTATGTATACTGTTTAAGTGACCTAAAAACAATAGTTATTACTTGTAAGTGTACCAACTTGATATCATCACATCGTCTTATTATTGCTACAACTTTTTTTTTAATAACTACTTTTTTTTAACTACTTTCTATTATATGGGTCCCTCCTTAAGTTGATGATTAATTTTCGTAACTAATCGATTTGAAATCTACAATAACCGACATTACGCTCCAGCAAATCATTTTACACTTGATTCAATCTCATGACGGTCTAAAGAACGTTCCAGAAAAGCTCCAGGATGTTGACATCACGATATGAGCATAATATCGATTACCCAGTCCAATTTATTAATGAAATAACACTTTATCGGTTACCAAAACATTCGTGGAACTTGACAATCAGTTTCTTAATTTATCCAAAATGTTTAGACTTTAGATTATAACATTATTGTTACTGCTTATTATTATCCAGATACATATGGGTACATATTCTATCGTAGTTGAGATACTACTTGCATATTTGCACCTAAACCCTCGATTATCTATGTGCGCCACTGCCCTGTGTGACTAAACCCTGACAAATTCGTAAAGGCTTTCGCGGTCAGTAGGTAAACTGGTGCTGTCAAATAATTGGTGATTTTTACCCGTTGTCATGTTTTGAAGTGTAAAACAAGGGCTCAAATTACCACAATTAACAATAAACTTTTTGATAATTTGTGTAAAGTTTTTTTTTTACCAGAAAACACCACTTCACTTAGTGCTACAACATTTTTTTTTTTAATAATTTCATTTGTTAACGTTGAATGTTGCCATCACCATTTGAGCATAATATCGGTTAGCCAGTCCATTTTATTAATAAAAAAACACACGTTATCGGTTACCAAAACATTCGTGGAACATGACAATCAGTTTCTTATTTTTTTAACGTGTTTAGAAAAGATTATAACATTCCTATGTCTGATTCATTGATTGATAATGCATTACAACGGGTGGTCTACAACAATATTCTTAGCAACTCCAATACTTTTATTCTAGTCAGGTTTTCCACTTTTATGGTCATCATGCATTATCTTTTCACAATTTCCTTAACCAACCAAACTCAAATATTCTTTCAACCATCAATACATACAATCAAATGCAGAACACTGTCAGGGAGTCATACGTACCACAATTTTCACAATTTATTGTTTATCTATGTATATAAAAGAAAGACGTTTTAGTTACACTATTTATAACTCAAACACGGCTGAACCGATTAGGCTGAAAATTGGTGGGGAGGTAGCTTGGAATCAAGAGACGGACATAGGATAATATTTATCCCGTTTTTTTATGGTACAGTGGTGGGGGAAACCTCCTCTTTCGATTCCACCCACCCCACCCCCTTCGGGGGGTGAGGGCCATCGTCTAAACATTTACCAATTTTACCTTTTTAGGAAGCTGAAAGGGGATTGCAAAGATTGCATGTTTGTTTTTGGTCCGATTTACTTCAAACTGGTTAAAAAATTCAATCTCTGTTGGGGGGGATGAGTGGTGAAGAGGAGTTGCAATGCAACTTAACAACTTGAAGGTTGCTCATTGTTAAAATTAAGCAAATACGTGTTTTGGCAATTTTTAAAAATCAACCCTTAAGCATGAAATGTTGTTGCTACGTTTGTATTTCAAATCTAAGATGGCGATATTATATAAAATTAAAACGTTGTAAGGGTGAATTGAGAGTTAAAAGGTTTTATGGAGAAACAATATTAATATATACATAAATCAATCTCTCTTGCGTTTACCAAAACATCGAGCCGTAAATCCCCTGTCTAATTAATCTAAGTTTATTTTTTCAAAGGATTTCATTAAATCTAATAGTATGATAACGAGGATTAACATCTGTTACTCAACTTAAAGTATGTGAATTGTAAAGAGATTTATTTATGTTGCATTAAATTTGATATGATAATTCAGATTGTTTATTTTAAAATTATATAATAATATAACGGCTTTAGTAATAAATTCAACCTCATAACGTCATAACAAACACTGACATCGTTCTGTTTATGTTGTTTTCTCTGTTTCTTTATTTCGATATCAATAACGTCAAAATATAAATATTTTTAACCTTACCATGACCTGCAACAATCCGTAAAGCGTTCGGGGAATACCAACTGTAAACATGACCTACCTGAAAAAAAAACAGACATCTAGTCATATAAACAATTCCTGTTATTCGATAACATTATTTATTATTGTACATTTCACAGTTACTATAATAATATATCTCAGTTTGGGCAGATGGCAGCAAAGAGCATACAATAACCATAACTTGATCTAAATTTGCCATATCTACTTAATATCTTTAATCCATTTGCAGTTGCGCTAATTCTTACAACAGATAACGATTCCGCCGGCCAGCGTACGTTTAGTTTGGTTTTTCTCTTTACAAACATTTTTGTTCTGTTGAAGCCCAACAAAATTTTCAAACTGAAAGTGTGGCGGAAAATGTACATTTGTTGTAAATATTATTTTCTAAGCATTCTTTTTCCTTCAAATTTATTTCACTTCAAATATTATTTCCAATCTACACTCGTATGCTGCCGGCTAGACCAGCAAAATCGCTTGGTCGACTAGTGCTGACGTCACCCGTAAGGGTAAGGGTCTAGATGATGGCCCCCACCCCCTTCGGGGGATCGAAAGAGGAGGTCTCCCCCACCACTGTGCCATAAAAAGTTCGTGGCGGTCTCACCCCCATAAAAAGTTATGGCGGTTATATGGGGGTGGGAGTAGGGGGGCCATCATCTAGACATTTACCCCCGTAAGCACTATAGTCTTATCATTCACGAAGGTAACGCTTTAGCCCATCTATGCCCGAAGTTTGATTTTTTCAATATTTGTTTAGTTTCAACTGGATCACTTAAAAATGTTGGCGATTTTGAATTGACGATTCAGTCACAACAACCTATAAACATCGAATCCAATCAACAGGGAATAAGCAGCGGCATAATATTAAATTTCCCGAAAATGCTAACAGGAAACAAAAAATATGATCGCTTAGAACTAAAAAATTCTAGAAAAATAGCGTGTTTTCTAATGAATCCGCGATGTCTGGGATATTCTAAAAAATTCTCAAAGTCGAAAACATAAAGAAAAAACTAATGCTCATAGAGGAAAAAGTTAAATGAGAAAGTTGTACGTATTAAAAAGATCTATCGATACATTTTTTTGCTATCGATCAATGCATTACATTTCGATATATATCGAAGAAACCGCCAAAAATCGACTTTTTGTTTTCGTCGTAGTTTTTAACTAATAGAAACCTTGCTAATCTTTTTTTTTATCGTGAAAATACCATTCTTAAAGAAAGAAAGAAGCCCACAATGGTTTCCGTGGGATCTTCCCTCGAGATAGTGGAGCCGATTTTTGAGAGCACCTTTCTTTTTGGAAAAATCGACATATCTCGAAAAATTTTAAATATTTTTTAATTCCTAAAAAAGGTACCTTTTTGGCTTGCCAAGGGCTACATTTACAGCGAGTAGAAAACTAAAAAACGTTAAATTGAACAAACTACGGCAAAAACAAAAAACCAGATTTTCGACGGTTCTTTCGATATATCTCATACATTCCATATGTGTATAAGAGAGGTTTCCACCCTACTTGTGTACAGACAGCTCTCCTACCGGTTGTTAACTGCTATTCCATCTGAAAAGCATGAAGTGACACTTGCTTTATTTAAGCTGTTTCGCAATTTGTAATTTCCCACATTGCAATCAAGAAATTGGTATCCGCATAACTTTGAAGAAGCACTTAACAATGAAAATCTGCGGAAGTTTTTTTCTTCCATCAATGGCTCGATAATCGCGTTGACATAGTTGCTATGTGAAACTGTTACAACAAAAAACACCGGACAAATAATTCCATAGAATGATGGAATAATAAATTAAGTCATATCTTAGAGGTCTAATCCTGCAACACGCCAGTTAATCAAAAAATCAGTGAAATCAGAAAATTAAGATAAAAGGCAAACAAAATGATTTTCTTTATAGACAAAAAGCAGTAGAAGAAAGAACCGCTACATTCAGTTAGATGAGGCGAATACAGATAATACTGAATCAGTATCTATGTTGCAATCAAAGATTTATACTCAAGATCTTTGACATACACAGTAAAACTCGAATGAATACCTACTCAAAAAAACGACAATGCCAATTTGGCTTCATTATATTACATGGGCAAAATGCATGCAAATCCTAAAATTAGAAAAAGTGGGAATGGAAGCCAGTTAGAAAACATTGTTTATGTTTAAATGTCCTTAAGTTATTTTAATTATTAAAATCCCAACTGTATGCGAATGCCACAACTATTTTCAGATGGAATAGTAGATAACTACAGGAACAGGGTAGTTTGTAGTGGGATTGAAAATTAAAAATTAATTTTCACATTAATACTTGATATTAACCCCTCTTAAATATCAAAAGTGTTTCATATTTATAGTATTAATATAGTTACATTTGTTCGACGGATTTGTGACCTAATAAGTACGGTTTGTCGTTGTTGCTGTTGTCACTTGTTGTAGCTTCCCGGCAAGGGTGTGACAACACCAACAAATTTTTCCCTCATTAACTTGAGGCAGTTTGAAGTGGGATTGAAAATTAAAAAAAAAAAAATGATTTTCACATTAATATTTGGTAACAATAATGTTTATCGGGTTGACGCCTTACTTTCATGACAGCATTAATTGTCGCTGTTGTCACACCCACATTTTTCCCTTATTAATTTGAGGTAGTTTGTAGTGGGTAAATAAAAAATTGGAAAAAATGATTTCAAATTAATACTGCATATTAATCCACTATTAAGTAACTAACAATGTCATAGGATTTCATCTATTTCAATTTGTTAGAATTGTGACCTTGAAGAAATCTGCGCGAAGATAGAAAGAATACACACTAGGCGTGAGCAAGACAGAATCAATTGGAACAAGCTCGAACGAGCAGAGCTCACGATGGGCGGTCTTAGAAGATCGACTAGAACTGTACAGTACTAGACGAAAATGTTTAGCAATTTCTTAAAACAAAAATGTATATAAATTGACAATAGAAAACAAAGCAAAAGTTTTATAAATGTGTAGAACGTTAAGTTAATTCACTTGTTATTATTTTTGGCTAAATACGCTTTTAAATAAAGTATATTCTTACATTTTAACGAGGCAGTTTAAATAATTTTGCAAATGGTACTGTACACTTTTGTCTAGTTCTCCGGCGGAGAAATGAGCTCCGCAGACAAATATGATTGAATTTGGAATTATGCTGCGGCTAACTTGTTGAAACTTCTTGAAACGAACAGTATGTAAGTATCATTTGTTCATTTGGACTACAAACCAATCATAAATTGGTGTCACACTTTATTCAAGTCGATACGTATCTCGACATGCTGCTTCGTCCGCGTGGAATTCTAGTGCAAAACCATACACAGGACTCGCCCACACCTCTCCGAACGATAGATACAATAGGCACATCATTAATTAAATGCACAAAAATAACTGTTCTTAAATGATTTCTCTGAAGTTCATTCATAGAGAGACACTGTCATTAGACAAACGGACTCTTGCAATGGGCCATTCCCGTTCCGCGTAGAAGTTATTACCATATTTAAAAACAGTTATTTATAGTTATTAAACAGTAAGCGAATAATATACGAGTACGAAACAAGTGTTTAGTTTAAATAACAGACATTTGAATTATATTTTTGCTGTAAACAATTCTTGAGGAAAATAATAATAGATGCCGCAGGAATGCATGATTGCTGACATTAATTTAGTAATACAGTAGAATCCGTTTATTATGAAGCCGCTTATGCATATTGACCAACCGCCTATTATGACGTAATTACACTACGAAGTTTGGTTTTCATATAAAATTCTTTATGAAAAAGTCGGATATAATGACTTCGCTTATAGTGACATGTCGCTTATTATGACCCACTTTTAATAAATTGTCCGGTTATAATGACCGACAGTGCAAAGTATCGATAGCGCTCTCCTCACATCCGAAGAACCCACCGATGACAATATCGTACAGAACATTAATGCTAAGGAACAACTTGAAAGTGATGGCGAAGAGGAAGTCGAGGAAGAACCATTACCTACCGCAGAAGAGGCATTAAAAGCTGCAGAATTATTATCCCGATTTATTAATAGCAATATTGAAAACGATAATTTGACCATGGCGATGTCTTCTATACACAATAGTATTAGAGACTATTTTTACAATACAATGAAAAAACAAAAGCAGACAGAAATTACAGATTGTATTCATTAAAAAATACACTTGTATGTGTATAATGTGTACGTAATAAATGTGCAATTTTGATTTCATTAGTTACTATGTTTCTCTATTAAATTAAATACATACATAAAAATGTTTTTTTTCACAAACCGCTTTGTATGACGTCCGGTTATTATGACGTGTTTGTCGATTCCCTTCGATGTCATTATAAACGGATTCCACTGTATA